GAGTTGGGGGATCTGCAAGTGTTTGGAATGGATCTGAGGGTGAGGGAGGGAGACTGCTCACAAAAGGAAATTTGGCTCCAAAGGAGGCGGAGAGGTTTAAACTTGGTTTAAAATATAGGCGGGCCCCACGCTACGTAGATTGGGCCCATCGGCCTATGCAGGAAGGTGGCTTTTTGATCCACCAACTTCCATTTTGTGCGTTTACTGAATTTTTTTGTATTTTCACAAAAACTCGTGAAGTTTTTAAAATTGCATTAACCTCCTCTTTGTTTTCAATTTATTTACACTGATACTCATCGAAATTTTTGTTGTTCATACTTTCACAAAACTTATGAGGTTTTCAACGGAATTAATTTTGTAAAAAAAATTTGAAATTCCAAAGGACATTAGTGTAATTTTCGAAATCTCAGGAGTTCAGTGAAAATACTAACAATCTTACAAGGTGTCAATGTAAAAAATTCTATCTACTACCCGCCAATAAGTTACCTGAGCAAATATTAGGTAAGTAGTTCATTGTAAACAGGTATAAAAATGTTGACTATATTTTACCTTTCAATGATTTACTTACGTTGTATAGGTAAATTAAAAGACGAATTGGACAACCAAGGTACGTACAATATTTTACACCAACAAAACCACTCATTAATCAAAGAACATAAGCAGCCAGCCGAGTCCTTAACTCGGCATTTATCTACAAATCATTAGTCTCATATTCGAAATTCAATGTCACCTCTCCTCCCCTCCCCCTCACAAACTTTGACAAAAATAAAATAAAATAAAAGACCATAAGCATATGTCCCCAACAAAAGGACAGAAAAAACCAAACCAAAGAACCCAAAGACAGACCAACCCCCATCTATCCCCACACTTTGATTCCCCAAATGCAAGTGAACATGCCCAACATAGAGTGTGTAGAAAGACACTATTGTAGTAGATCATGTTATGGGGTGATCCTACTATGTTTTTTTTTTCAAGCGAAATAAATAGACTCTAGTCACATGGTAAAAAGAAAATAATAATTCTAGTTAGTTTATTGATAACGGAAAAAACCTATATTTCCAAAAAATAAAGGATTCCATTTCAAAATTTACAAAATAAATAAGAAACGTGTAAATAAAAAGTTTCCGTTTTCCTTTTATTTGAGCTATGGGAATATTGATACACGTCAAAAAAGATTTCTTTACTGATACACAACATGATGGCATTTCAGCATCAAATTACCTTCTTAAGGTGGACACAGCCTCTCCATGTACAAATGTGGATGCAGTCCTCTTCGTTGGATATAATTATAAGTTAGGAACTAATTCGTGTGAGATATTTCTTTCCGTATTTCTCCCATGCTCTGCTTGTGTGTTGACAAACATACCCGCGTGTAGCTAGGGTTTTATGGTGGCGGGTGATCATCCTCTGGTGTTTGAGGTGGGATAGGTTTCCAACCTGGTTTCTCATCCCAGTACATGTCATAGTATATGTGACCAGGAGTGTGTTCCGCCACACAACACCATATACCAACATACCGCTTCACGCGGTTCTTGAATTTCTCTTCCCTTGCCTGAGCATAAATTCATATATCATCAGAACATGATAAATACGCATGTACCAACGGTTCAACCATTAATATGAGACCAAAGAAAAAAAAAAAATCGAAAAGACTTGCCTTGTCAGTGAAACCTGGGAAGGAATCTTGCATAGAAGAAAACTGAATTACTTTTACATCCTTGAATGAGGAGAATATTGTCTTGAACTGCATATACAAGTGAAATACAATATGGTAAGAACATTAGAGTTAATAGAAACATTGCTAGACAGAGTTAGAGAAAAAAAAACATTCTAGAATATTATATCTCAAAAGTCGGTCTGAGTCCTGACCACCTATATCTTGTCACAGTACTTATCCCCTTTAAAGGCCACTTAAACTCTGACCATTTCATGAGCCAATGATGAATAAAGTTTGATTAACTGATAATGTTTGAACAAACTGGCCCAGTTTCAGCTTCATAATAAATTAGAGATCATTATAGATGCCGGCCCTACAAGGGTGTCCCTCAAATAAGTTATTTGAGGGATCCCTCAACTGAAGCTCTGTATACAGAGTGCCAAAAATGACAGATAACCTTTCACTAAACGGTATATGTATATATTAATAGATGTATAGTCTTTTCACGAAAATAAGTGCGTACACACACGCACACATTCAGAATACCGTTTCTTCATTGCTTCTCTTTGGAAATCTCAGCACTCCTGATGGGCTGGTAGTATTTGAAGCAACGCAGTCTTGGGTTCCTTCTTGACAAAGCTGGACCTCAAGCCATGATTCTTTCACCTGAAAAAAAGATTCATAAATGTATAAGTTGTACTCTAAGAGAGGGGGGTTGGGGGGTGGGGGTAGAGAAGAAAAGTGCTACTTTTGAGTTAAGTTTCACTGATACTCATTTACCTGTTTTGGCATCAATGGATTTTCAAAAAATGAGTATTCTCTTATATTGATCTGGGGCCCAAATATCTCCTCTGGCAATTCCTTGAGCATGACATTTACCTGCGTTCACAGTAGTCTTTCCTTAGCTTCCAGAGGGGACTCATAATAGGAAAACCAGAGTAAAATGTGACTTTGAGATCCCTTAATATTCCTATGATTCATATGTTCAACCTGTAGGAAGCTTCACTCAGTACAAACAGACCCATTATTCTGAACAATGGATTTCAATTCGGTTTAAACAAAATAGGCTTTGACAAATGATGGAAAATAGCTATAAAGTAAACAACAATTTTAGAAATAAATATTAAGAACTACTAATTTCAAAGAGAGATTGGTATGTATTAAAGAAAAAGGGGTTAAACAAAAGCAAAAAAGAGAAAATCAACTGTTCTGAGGTAGCTGTAGGGAAAACAATAAAACCGACATCCTCTTCTTACCGCCTCTTTTTCTCTCGGCAAACCTTTTTCCAGTATATAATGTATTTTAGCTTATCTACTACAGTGAATGAAGTTCATTGAAACTTTTCATATTCTGTTAATCAAGGATCAGAGAAAAAGTATTAAGAAGCCGCTTATGGTCGCCCAAAACCTTTATAATAACAAAGGGTCCATAGATAGGATAGAGAAAGAAAAGAAAAGGAAAATTATGCACACAATCCTTGTGGTTAGATCGTAAAATTCGTATTGTCCTAGGGGTTTGCTTCACGACACTTATTCTTTCCTTTATGTGGTTTCCTCAGTAACAAAAACTCATTAATTTTTAGAGAAAATGAAGCATTTGCATGCAGCATGATGATTTTTTAGGATTCCATGAAAAATAATTTGTGAAAATTCCATAAAAAATAATTTGCGAAAATACCATAGAGCCCTCATATTGTGGTTTCCTCCATAAAAGTGGAGATTAAGAATGAAAAAAACAAGGGTCACATCGTCTATTTAGCACCCATTTTCAGGGAATCATACCAAAAATCATGTGGCCATGCTTAGTTTCCTATTGGAGTCAAATTTTTGTGTAATTGAGGAAAATCCAAGGGAAGCATAACCCCTAAACCATCATGGGGGTGCCGGACTACATCCAACAAGACACAAATAACAAGGAAAAGGCACTTCCAGAAACCATAACCTCTAGGATAACCCCCTTTGCAATTAATCATGCTCAAGAATGGCGAATGGAAGATCATAATCAGTTTCAATGAGAAAATTTAACTGACATTTCTAGTAATCCAAATAATCAGCACAGATACTGGTCCACAGACTCCATCAGAAATTTAAATAGTGGAGAGGGGAAAAGGTTTATTTGGAAGGCTAAATTTCTAATTGAGACCATAGCAAGGATGACCAAGTTAATATTATGATCACTATTTTTCTCCAATGACATTATACTTCGCTCATTACTTCAAAAACTAAACTCTTGTGGCAAAAGCCATGAATTTGTCTGTTAGTTGTCTTGATGTCGAGAATGAAACTGATATCCTGCTGTTTTAAGTACAAAGGCTGCTTTAATAGGAACTTGTCCAAAGGATGGCAACCTCTTACAATGAAAATTTTCTGAGCAATCTTGTCTATTGAGGAAGCAAAGAAAACAAAACTACATAAAATTAGCTCCGACAAACAGGACATACCTCAAATACATGGTCAAGAGGGCAAATAAAAGGTTGTCGAGTGATAGATCCCTCAAGGACGCCAGGGTGGGGAAACCACAGCCTATCCAACCTGCACCACAGTGGAGGCATGACCTGAAAATCACAAATACAAAATATGAAGATTAAAATATGAACTCCATATGCATTAGTTCAGCAACAATTATGGATTTCAAACCCGGTATGTAATATTGGCACAATGTTGAATGATTATCTTAGCGGACAGATTCTAGAGCCTTATCCTTATGACCAAACCAATAAGCAAAACAGCACGGTATATAGGCTATAAGACCAATTTGATGTAAGTGACCAATTTGATTGCACTTTGTTAAAGTTGATGCATCCAACCTAAGACCAATTGGCTACTAGTGGAGAGGCCTAAGAGTTTGTATAACACCCCCTCGTGTGGCTGGACTAAGCCAAACTGATAGGTTAATTATGTAGGGTGACATGAAGCATGTGAGGCCAACTGGGCCTAAAACATGGATAAATTGCCCACTCTGATACCATGTTGAAGCTGGAGCATCCAACCAAAGTGGGCAATTAGTGGAGAAGCACATTATTTTGTTTATTGAGCTGCAAGGCATAGAGTGCCTCATGTGCAATTTCTATATTCTCATAGAAGAAACAACTATTTACTTATGATTATGAAAGTCAGGATCTTGCTACATGTCAAACTTGCAGGACCCTACAAAATTTACCCTAAACCTTGTATGTGATAGTAAATGAGACATGCACAATAGAACCTGTTGAATAAGTCCACAATTTCCATCCCTTCATAATTCTGTTAACAGCTATCAGGGTCATGAGAAGCATTTTCAGGTGAAGAGAAGCTAAATACACTAAAATAGCAACAATTGATTGTGACAATGGTGAATCAAAATTTGCAATATCACCCAGATATGTATAAATAAAACAAACTCAAATTCCTTCAATAATCCCACACTAAAATTCATTCACTCATTTATCACTGAAGCATTCCAGTCCAACAAAAATGTGCTGTGAAATAAAAGACAAAATGATAGATATTTTCTCACCAAGGTGCGATTCAACAAGGAAGCAATAGCAAGTGCCATCCTTATCTGCTTTATCTGAACAAAGCCATTTAGGATATAAATTATATGATGCAACACTGTAATATCCAGATCATTGCTAAAAGTTAATGGAAGCAGGTTAGTACATACATACTTGGTAATTAATAAGAGAAAAATGTGATTTGACGTTATGCTCCCCATCTAGTAACAAGGTCTTTGGAATAGATGGCTTAAATGACAAAAACCCTCCTGCATAAATTTCCAAAGATGTCAAGCAGCATTAGTATGAGAAAAGTCATCAGTACAATATGAACAAATGCCAGAGTAGTGCATCCAGATATTCAAGTGGTCAAATTTTCAGTTCTATGCAAACTTTTTTATTGCTGATGAGGTGGCAAGTTTTGAAGAAAATTCAGACTCAGGCAGTGTTTTGGTTATTGGAATGAACAGAGGAATGGGCTGGCTTTCCTATAAGATGTCCAATCCCCCAAAATGATACCAATTTTCAATTCTTCCTACTTTACCCTCTAGCTCTCAGCATTCTATTCTAATTCTAATTCCATTATGTTCTAATGGTTAAATATACCAATCAAAGAGTACCTTAGTTTCTTTAGTGCAAGAGATAATTTCAGAAATGTAAATGAGCATGAAAGATCAAGCTCCATGAGATTGGAAGTAAACTTAACTGAGAAGATGCAAAGAAAATGATACACATTCACTTTCACAGAAGCAAGAAAAATGCATCCTAAGAAGATCAAGAAGATGTGCAATGCATGGCACAAATATTGGTGATATTTTCTGTTAGTACCTGGTGCATCATAGTATTCTGGTGGGTCATAGAAAACCATGCCTTCGCGTAGTCGGTGGCGCTTTCCTTCAGTACCAGCATACTGGAATGTGGTATGCACTGCGTATGGCTCCAACCTCAATTGCTGATACGTGGCCTGCCATTAAAGCATTAAAGAGCTTAGGACTTGTGTGATACACAACCTTTTATAGCTTATATGGACTACGTTCATGCAAGAAACCTAAGTTTGAGGGTGCAATTGAGGAAAAGATGGAAGAAAACTATAAATCCATTAACTAAGAATATACAATGTGAAAACTACCAAAGAAAAACTATACAACCCTACCTGGACAAAATATGTATGCCCGCTACAAAATATGCTTGCAGGCAAAACTCCAAGCTTGAGATTTCCATCAAAAGCATACACAAGTCCACTCTCTCCATCAACAGGTGGTCCTAACTGCTTCCGTACGAGATCATTAAACCCATTCTGATCCCATATCTTTTCATCAGCTAGAAGCATATCTTTCCATTCCTTAGCCAATCTTTTAGCAGCGTCTGTTGGCCGCCAGTGGAAAATTCCAATATTGTAGGCAGCACCAACTGTTAAAGGGAAGACACTACATCCTTATTAAATCCTAATATATGAGATAACTATAAAATCATTGTTCATGAATCAGCAAAATTATCGAAGCAATAACTTTAACATAAACAATCAACAAGGGTAACAGATACTATGCGGGAGTCAAAATTGAAGAACAGTAATGAAGGTTTCAACAGAAACAGGGAAAGTTCCAGATCCTATACTAGTATCCCCAAGGGGTAGACCCCTCCCAAAGTGTTAGCATAGTTATAATTTGTGGCTGGACACAAATTCATGTCACCAGATCTTGTGCAAGTTATTACAGAGATCCAGCACATTGAATAGCTGCAAACATTTTATGCACGTATAGGATAGTGGAGATGAAAAAAGAAGTATTTTTACACAAAATCTTCACCTTGTTGCCAAATGTCCAACCTGTCATCGGTGACTGTTGGTACAACTTGATCACTGGAAGTCAAGACATCTGCTTCAGGATAGCGAGCAAGATATGGAAGTGGGTCCTGTTCCAGAAAAAAGAAAATAATGTGTAAGAAATATGAAAACTCATATTCGTCAAACGAAACAAACTAAACAAGTAAGCATTCTTGACAAAAAAAAAAATTAAGAATTAAAGTACTAGCTGAAAAACTACCTTTAACCAAACCATGTCTGTATCGCACATCAAGAGCTCATAGCCATAAGGGAGGATTGAGTCTATCAGTATAACCTTTTCTCTCCCCATCTTGTGGAATGTTGGTGATCCCCATCCAACATCTATTGTGCTCATATGGCTGCCCATATCAAATACTGGAACACCCTTCCAGTACAAAGCCTCCAACAGTTTGGTGTCCATTGCACCTAAGCCATCAATTTCAAACTCAGAGGTGCAGACATAAATAGAAATACAAAACATACATTACCTTACAGGGAAATGGAATAGATATGTAAAGAAATTGAAAAGGCCAAAACGACATAAAACTTCACAACCGAGAATGCGAGGTAGCTTACCAATGAGAAGGTTAGAAAGCCCCAGATCAGTCAAGTGTTTAACCCAAGTCAGGATAAAATCCATGAATGCATAGTTCCCAAAGGTCACAATAATGATGTTATCCTTCACTCTTTCCTGAACCAGTTCTTTGCTCAGTCTAAATTTCTTCAAGGGTGGCATTTTATTTGTGTGTAGAGGAGCTTCCCAAATGGGTCTTGTTGACATGCTTCGAGGCTCTAGTGAAGGTGTGGGAACTGCTTGAACTATTCCTGGTTGAGAAACATTGGGTGCTTGCTCTACAGGAGGAGAACCTACATCTGTAGCAATTTGTGAATTCACAAAAATAAAACACATGCAGGGAGAGGGAGACAACTGAAATCACAGACAGAAAGCTTACGGAATGAACACCAAATATTGGAAGAAAGGGTGCATTGACAAAAAGAAAATGGCTTGAGTTCTACAATATTACTGACGGCAGCATGAAAAATGAAATTTCTTACTTTTCTATGTAGGAATCGCATGCAGTGTAATCATTAATAGAGTGAAAATATTTTTTATATATATACAAAATTTGGAGCAGATATCCAAATCTCATTTCATAATAGCTCAATCAACTCTTATGCAAACTCCAGAATGCCAATATGAGGACATGAAAATATGAAGAAATGATATACAAAGGCAGGTACCAAATGTTTAAAGCTTGAAACTTTTGGTGTGTAACAACAAACAAGAACTACATAATTGATCATCTTTCTTTTCTACCCAATCAAAAACACACAAAAACTAAACTAAACCAAACTAAAGCATCAAAAGTCGGACTTTTGATCACAGGACTAGAGTAAAGTTGAGTTTTGTTTCTAAATGAGCTTATGCTGTCATAGTCGAATCAGTTAGATCACTTAGCAATATAAGTTAGTAGTTGTCATTAGTTAGAGATGTGGCGGGAAGAGTGAAATGGATCTTGTATAAACAAGAGCACCATTGCGACTCCACAAGAATAAAAGAAGATGAAAATACAATTTCCAGCGCTAAAGCACATAAGCGTTGAATTATTCAACGGGCAACTAAAATCTCAAAAACCCATTTCCAATATGTAATGAAAGTGATAGAAATTGGAGGATAAGCGTAAGAAACAATAACAAAATCAATGGGCTAGGAAACCCCAAAGGAAAAAGCAGAGAGAGAGAGAGAGAGAAACTGACGGGAAAGCCAGGAGGTGGTGGAATCTGCAGCAGACTTGCCAGAGTAAATGGCCGATATCACATACAAAGACGAGAAGATGATCCCAATTATTACAGTGGCGTATATAGTCACGAACACTGGCTTCGCATTGTCAAACGCATTCCTCCACCCCATTGTTTCGCTTTTGGGATTGTTTGCTTGTTTGATTATCCTTCCCACGCCATTAACATCATCTTCTTTCTTCTTTCTTCTTTCTTCGGGGGAAGAAGAAGAAAGAAAACCCTAAATCCAAATGGAACCAATCTGAATCTGAGAGGTTTATTTCACTTGTTTCTCTCTCTGCAGCTCTCAGGCTCCCAACTGCTAAAGGTCAACTCCAAGCTGAGCCTCCATATTTGTCTCCTTTATTTCTCTCATTCTTTAATCTCTTTGCCTAATTTTTTACCAGGAAGAGATAGTTTGGTTCAGTTTAATGTGAATCTGTTATCCGTGGCGAAAAAGTTATTTTCATATGGGAAGGGAGGATTCTAACATAATTGATTGAACAGTTGATTATGAAATAATTGATTAATTAGGGTTAATGATCTAAATGGTCCTCAAATTATTGCCCCATTATCATTTTGGTCCATCAACTAAATTTTTTAATTCAAACGTCTTTAAATTTTTTATTTTGTACTAAGATAATCCTACCGTCAAAGTCTGTCAAATATTCTATTAAATTGAGGGGCGAAAAAGTAAAATCTTATTTAAAAAATTAAAAACTGAAATAACCTATTATCTAAAACCCAAAAAAAATAAAAATAAAAATATGACTTTCCCTTCCTCAGCAAGCACGAACAGTGGCTTCCATAGCTTCCACCAAAAAATCTAACTCAAACCCATCAGTCTTCTACCCATTCACTCCCGCTCAAATCAAACCCATGTTCGCCTCCTTATCTCTCTACCACCATCTCTTGCTACTACTGCGATTTCAAGTTTTGGGCTTTCAACCAACCCCTCTTCAATTCAGCAGAACCCACTCCCAAATTCTCATAGCATGATTATTGTGGAGCAAAACGTAGGCTTGATTGAAAGCAGTGAGTGAGTGCAAATGGAGTATGTTGTCGTGTTTGTTGCGTGATGTGATTAATTGCAAGTGGACAATATCGTTCAAATTAATATAATAGTAAATAGAGTATCGTTCCAACAGGGATCAAGTTAATCTATTAAATACTAGAGTGATTTATTTCTAATTATATTTGAATTAAACGAAAAGAGAATTATGATGATTAAAATCTAATTAAGCAAGTAAAATAAATTGAGATTAAGGAAATAAAGTAAAAGATGAAAACAAAGATGATAAAGCACTAGGGCACCGATTTCACCTAGCTAATCCCACCCAAATCCTTCTAGCTTGCTAATTCTAATTAGCTAACATGTTGATAATCGTTTTCCCTTACCTCACCAATACTCTCTTCCGAGTTATATTAGTTGTGTTCCTTACCATCAACTCACTCTATTTCTAGTTATGGATTTAGATAGCTAAGAACCCATTAAGATTTGTGGAAAACAATGAAGATTACACAAACCATAACCTAATCTTCCGAGTCGGCTATGTAATTTATGGTACTTGTTTCTAGAAGCTTTTTACTAGGAATCTCCTTCCGGTCTCAACCTAATTCTTCCAATCATGCAATTAGTGGCTAATTAATTGAAAGCATTAAGAACGGTAACAAGCACTCAACATGTATAGATAAATAAAATTAACAATATCAAAGAATTTGGGTATTCATAGCTAGGCTACATCGTAGCCCTAGTAAAAGGAATTAGTTCATGAAGGACTTATTAAGAATCTTGATGGTTGATGAAGACATGGAAGGCATCGAATTCTGCAAGTAGAATGTCAAGGTTGCACAAGCTCTTCGCATTCTCCTTTGGGTGTTTCGGTTATGAGTATGAATGTGTAGGAATTTGATGGTGTAGGATGGAGGATGATGGATCCTTTAAACAATAACCTAAACTCCCTATTTATAATACTCCTACAAATCCAACCTATCTAAGGTATAATTACAATTATTATAAAAGTAGGAATCCTTCTAAAATAGGGTCTTCTTTATTTCTCCTTGCTTGACTTGATGAGACTTGAAACATCTTGAATTAGGAAATTTGACAACATTCCTTGCGACAAAAGGAATGACTTGGCTTCTTAACTTGATTAATCTCCAATCTTCATCTTCTTGCCTCTTTTTACCTCAATTTCTCAAATTTCACAATTCCTTCACAAATCTCACAAAACTAATTAAAACAACCAATTTAATCCAAGGAAATTAACAAATAGATAAGTAAATGAGGCATAAAATATATATATAAAATGTTGGCACTAAAACTGAACAGATAGAGATGAGTGCAACTCACAAGTGGTGAGGACGATCTAGCAGATCGATTGAATGACAGATTCTTCTTGTCCTTGGATGCAGATCCTGAATAGAAGAGAGTTGAGACTCGTGAGGTCTATGGAACCGGTGTGGAACCAGCCTAAGACCCTCCGATGCCAAAGTAAGTTTGTTTCTAAGAGCTCTTGCTGTTGACCATATAAAAGTATAAAAGTCAAGCTGAAAAGTCTTACCCCTGTATTGTAGTGGAGGGGTCTATTTATAGAGGGCATTTCGTATGCTCTTAGTACTTAATTTCGATGTGGGACTCGTGGGAGGGCCCTATGAGGTTGACACGAGTCCTTAGATATTTCGGGTGGGTGCTTCGAGGTTGATTCTGCAGAATCGGTAAGGGATACCGATTGTAGGCTGTGTTGGGCCTGTAGCGATCTTTTGCTGCTTTGAGACAATATCATCGGTAGCCGATGCTGATTGTTCGAAGCCTTTGGGGAGTTTAAGCGATCCATGTGTCAATGGATGAGTGGAGGATCAGATATGGTACAAACAG